TGAACGTTAATGCCATGCAAGGAGTTTTGAAGAGAGAAAAACAAGTGGAAGTCTGATGGCACAAGGTCAAGCAAGTATGGTGGGTATGGCAACACATCCCATCCAAGCTCCAATAATTTTTGACGGGTGATCAAACTTGTGTGTGGTCTCGCGTTGTCGTGATGGAACACAACTCCTTTACAATTAACAAGCTCTGGACGTTTCTGGATGATGAATTCATTGCCAAGAGTACACATTTGAATTGATTGGTTTCTTGGTAGGAGCTCGAAAAACACGACACCTTTAAAATCCCACCACACTGAAAGCATGACCTTCCTCTGATGAATGTCTGCTTTCGATGTCGTTTGAGGCAAATCATCACGTCGGGACCAAGACTGTTTGTGCACTACATTGTTGTAAACAATCCATTTCTCATCACCAGCTATCAGACGCTTCAAAAAAGGATCATTTTTCTCATGTTTAATGAGCATATTGCAGACGTTTATACACGCCATCAAATGAAATTATTTGAGTTCATGTGGAACCCAAATATCGAGCTTGCTTACGTATCCCAGCTTCTTCAGGTGGCCCTGAACGCATTGATGTTCAATGTTTCTGCGATCTCTCCTGTTGTGTAACGTGGGTTGGACTCGATCAATGCCTTTATTTTGTTGTCATCAACCTCGGTGGGCCTCCCTGACCAAGGAGCATCGTTGAGATCCAAATCACCAGGACAGAATTTCATGAACCATCGTTGGCACTGACGTTCTTGTAGAGCATTGTCACCGTAAACTTTACGCAACTTTTCACAATCTTGAGGTGCGTTCTTCCCTTTATGAAAGTAAAACAGTAAAATGTGGGAAAAATGCACAGTTTGGTCTTCCATCTTCAACTTGTAAAATCTCCAAAACTCAACCAAATCGCTCAATTTTTTTTTAGAATGAAGCTAGAATTGTCAGCTGTCAAATGACATAGCAAGAACATAGATACGAATGACTCTAGTACTTCCAAAAATGGACTAGTACTATCTGTCGCAAACATGCATCATGACTTTTCCGAAGACCCAATACTTAGGGGAGAAAGGAAATGGTCTCTGAGGATTCAGATTTGAAGATCTATAAATGTCAAATATTGTCACCTGCTTCCCAGCTCAGCTGTCAAGGGGTACAGAGCTGCATCAGAAAAAAAACCATCTTAACAAGAGAATCCCCTACCTCCTACCCTGCCCCCCCAAAAACCCCAAGCAAAATGCAAAACTGCTGCTTCTGTTGAAAATGATCATATATATATATATATATATATATATACATATATATATATATATATGAAATAAAAATAGCTGTCCATGAAACAGTATTTGTGAAATGGGAGTAAAACTAGGTTACATGACAATATCTACCACCATGAGCTGTTTTATATGTCTATTTATACATATATGTTTATAATGCATAGAAAGATTCATCCACTTGTTAATAAGAGTAATCTCTGGTAGAGTGGGGAGGGTTGAAAAGAGATTAATTACAAGGAGGTCTTTAGTATTTACATATGTATTTACATGTTTTTGTATTTATATACTCGTATGTTTTTGTATTAACTCGTACATGTTTCTGTATTACTTTATTTTAGTTTTACAACCAGCATGTATTTTTTTTATAATTAAAAAGACCAATAAACATTTACATATTAGGAAAAAAAAACACTGCTGCTTCTGCTACAAAGGAGGGCATGGGTACTGTGGTGGTGTTTGAAAAAATCATGAATCTTGTAAACTAGCAGTGAGATTTGCTGATTTCCACTGCTGTTGCCTTATCTGAAACATCCCCTACTGCTGTTACTTCCTTCCACAGTCAGCACAGGAAGGTGGGGAAGGGAGGAGCGGAAAAAAAGAAATCAACTTCTCACTTTGGCTGCCAAAATCAACTGCCTGGAATTTTCCAGTCTCTGAGGTCTAGCAGTGGATGTAGTTACTTATAGAATGGATGAACTATTGCTATCTTTTAGGTCTCTTCAAGCATGTCTGCTATCAGGCCTAGCATCAGTCTGAGTTAATGAGAATGACATCCACCACAGTAAATGCTCTGGCTCCCTGACCCTCTGGCCTGAACTATATAACGCTTTCACACCTAAAGATCTTGCCATCAATCCTCCCTCCTTCCCACTAGCCATCTTTCATCCTAGTGAGAGGTTAATCCTTCTAAACTCCCGATTTAACTCTGTCACTTCCCTACTCAATGCCTGTGCCATTTGTTTGTCTGTTTGTTTCAACTGCCGTTTTTATTATGTGCATTTATAAACCACCTTGCTGTGCACAGGGCTGGTGCAGGGATAATAAAAATATGTATGAGCTGCACGTTTTTTATCCATTAAAAAAAGAAAGAAAGAAAAAAAACCTGATGGAGCTCCAAAGGAAAATAAATTCTCAACTTTATTGACTGAAAAGTGTCAATGCAGAAAACTGGTGTGCATTTGCTTCACTAAAATGATATATGTTTCAAAAGTAGCAATACAAAGACAAATTTTTTTATTTTCATCTTAAATTATGTTGACACTTGGAAGCCACATGAGATCGATTGGCCAGGGCCTCTCCTCACTGGGCACTGGTGTAAACTCCAGAACCTGAGTCTGGAGGTGAACCTGCCTGAGACACTGCCCTAAGAAACTCTAGAAATGAGACCATCAAGACTCTCCTCTGACCTTCAGACCACTGGAGGCCTTGTTTTAGCTGAGATCCTTCTAAATTGATACAGCAGATTTCCTGAGTCTTAGGACTCCGTTATTTGTCTTATCTCATCATCCAACTTCCCTAGAGGGTAAGTACTGTGTCTGACTTATACTCTTTTCACCTTCTTCTGGTGAAGGCCCAGAACAATGCCTTTTGCATAGTGGGTCATCAAGAAATTCCTGTTTACGATGATGGTGATAAAGAAATAGCTTGAGAAAAAGTGACTTCACCCATGTGTGTTGAATTTTATTTTCTTTAAATCAGCATACCTACTTAGTAGAAGTCATACTCCGGGAATGTTCTAAGTTGCACACGCCTAGAACCCAGGGCTCCTGCTTCCTTCACTCACCCTGCTGGACTCTCGCAACATTCCCACCTGTTAACAGGTGTGGCCCCACACATAGGCATGTGTTTGCTTGTGCTTGGTATAATCTGAGAGACTTTCAAAGGCATTGCTTATGCAAAACATAGTCTAAAAATAATTCTCCCACGGAACCAAAGTAGTGCCCCAAATTTTCACCATTACTTAATTTTTTGCTTTAAGTAAGAATCCTGTTACTAGAGAGGAAAAACACATTGTTATTTTTACCTATGACACCTTAGCTCTGATCAGTTTATCTGCCAGGCCTCTGTTTGCTCTGAACTCCCACAGCATTTAGACCATAACCTTCTATCACTGCATTCATTCACCACAGTGTATTGGAATGAGCTCTTTCCATGTTTGCCTAAGTTGCTGTGAGCTTCTCAAGGCTATCTCTGGTACAATGTCAGCCTGGCACATGGTGGGCCCTCAAAAATATTGCTCAACCAAACTTAACCAACCTGTTTCTCAGGCAAACCCTAGAGAGTTCTGAAAGTAGTGCCTTAAAAAGTGAATCAAAGGATGTAGAGTCTTGCAGTGAGGAAATGTTCCATCAAATGCACTACTTAATTGGTGACAGGCCCACCAAAGACAAACTTGCTCCTGTCACAATTTGGTTACTCTTGACCAGTGGCTAACATTTGAAGATGGGTAGACTCTGTCTCCACTAAGATGAAGACATTACCCTCAGTAATTAAAAGCATGTCAGGGGCCAGCCGAGTGGCTCAGTTGGTTAAGAGCTGGCTTGGGATGCCAGAGGGCCCCGGTTCGGATCCCACATATGAGGGCCAATGATGGTGCCAACTTGGGCCAGTGAAGCAATGTCCTCCACAACTAGACTGAAGAACAAAAAGGACAGCAACTTGTCTGTTCCCCTTCCCCCCAATTCCCCAGCACTGTTCCCATCCCCCAATTCCCCAATAAAAATCTGAATTAAAAAAAAAAAAGCATGTCAGAAACAGGCCCAAAGCTAACCTCACACTCGAGTGTTCCGCATCTCAAAGAAACAGCCTGCTCCCGGGGCACAGGGTCTGCATCATGCATATTTCTTGTGTTCTTAAGAGTCTGACAGAGTCTGACACATTAGGAACTAAAAAGTAATAGCTAACAATTATATAGTGCTTACCATGTGCTAGGTACATTCCTCTAAGCATTTTATATTTATTAACTTATTTAATCCTCACAATGACGAGGCAGCTACTACTATCCCCATTTTACAGATGGGGGAACCTAAGCACACAGGAATTTATATGACTTGCCCAAGGTCACATAGCCCAAGGCCACATACCTCCAGAATCCATGCTTTTATTTATTTATTTATTTATTTATTTATTTATTTATTTATTTATTTATTTTTTAAGAGTTTATTGGGGAATTGGGGAAGGAAACAGTGTTGGGGAGTTGGGGAAGGGAACATTGTTTTTCCAGGACCCATTAGTCCAATGTCAAGTTGTTGCCCTTCAATCTTAATCGTGGCAGGCACAGTTCAGCTCTAAGTCCGACTGCTGCTTTCCATCTAGTTGCAGGGGTGGGGGAGGGGGCACAGCCCACCATCCCACGTGGAAATCTAACCGGCAACCTCGTTGGCTCAGACCCCTGCTCCAACCAACTGCGCCAGCCCCAGAGTCCATGCTTTTAAATACTTCGCCTTATTGCATCTAAACGGGAGTGAATACATCACTTCCTGCGCCATATTTTTATAGCTGATTGCTTGAACCTCCTGGTACAACACTTAAGATTCGCTCTCCCCCACTAGCCGGTCACTAGCGCAGGGTTGTCCTTTATCACCCTCAGGTCCTGGTGCAGCAGCAAAACTACCGTACGTTCCTGTGGCCACCAGGGGGCACTGTGGCCACACGTCCTCTTCCCCCTCCCTCCTGCGCGACCCAAGTGAGGCGGGGCCAGCGTTGGGTGGAGCCTGCGAATCGCTCAAGGGGGAGCAATCCCGGCGGGCCGCGCGCGCGGCCGCGTTTGAATGGCCCTGAGTGGGGCTCGGCCCGGGAGCCGAGGGACTCTCTAGGCTTCCGGGCGCAGTTCGTCAGCGCTAGGACTGAGCTGAGGCGCCGCGGTACCATGAGGCGCCGGTAAGTGACGGCCGGGCCTGTGCGAGCCCCGCGCCCGCAGCTGCCCTGTCGGGGGGCAGGACGCTTCCTCGGGCCTGGCCGTGTCCGGGGCCCACCCTCAGGCCCCGCGGCCGCCTCGGCTCGGCCCGGCCCTCCGCTGGGCTGCCGGGGTGGGTCGTGGGGCGGAGCGGCGAGGTCGCCGTCGCCGGGGTGAAACCCTCTGCCCGGCCGCGGCTAGGACGGTGGGGGCTGCGGGCGCTGGCAGGCGTGAGAGGGCGCGAGGGGTCCGGGCCGGGAGAGGCGTGGACCGAACGTGCTGTCATTTATTTATCTTCGGGTGGAGCCGACATCTGCACCCCGGGGAGGGGGAAGGACGGGGCGCGTGAGGCGATCTGTTTGAGGACAGGTTTTCCCGAGAGCCGCCTGGGCCTGGCCGTGGTATTTCCTTATTTTCTGACGGGTCCTTGGTTCCCTGACAGATAAGCTTTTGTTGAGCGGGACAAAAAATACTTGAGAACTGCATAAGAATTGCTGATTACAACTTTAAAAACCTCACTGTAGTTTCTGAAAAGCTGTTCAGTAACAGTACTGCGCTCTTAAATAGGCTTAAATATGGAGAGAAAGAGTTGATTTGTTCTCTTGGGGCTTGTAAAGCTCCTTGAAAACGGAGATGTCTATGTCAGTTTCTTTGCAGATTAAAAACAAAACAAAACACAAACTGTAACAAATTCTGTAATAATCACCAGTTTAGGACTAACAAAAATTCTGAGAAACTGTTCCACACAGTCGCTTAAACTTGTATAAAATCGTTTATCTTGCTTTTTGTAAAACCAGCTTCACAGTTGAATTAGAACTTGATTCATTGAGGCTTTTACTTGGCTAATAACTAGCATTGTAATAATAACAATGGTTAATAATCATTTTGTCCTTTTTATATGCTAAGCGCTGTTTTGAGAGCTTTGCTTTGGAACAGATACTATTATCCCCATTTGACAAGGAGGAAACTGAGGCACAGAGAAGTAGCATACAAGGTTACACAGCTAGTATAATTGGGACCCAAGCAGGCTGGCTCCAGGCTTTTAACTATGCTACTCTGTTGCCTTTTTTGTATGTGGCTCTTTTTAGTTCACAAAGTGCTTTCATTTATTTTACTTGTCTCAACTGGGGACGTAATACATGTGTAAGGTGTTTTTGTGTACACATAATACTCACACATTATAAAATCAAGTTGTCTGCTCTTGTTGACCATACTTTAAGTTTTGTGCGCTGAGCAAAAAAATCCGTTGGGTATTTTAAGATTAATGGACTTCTTAAAGTTTGTGTTGTAGTTTAAAGTTTTAATTCCTTTGTATCAGCTCCTGGAAATGTAGAGAACAGTTCAAAACCTTTGTATCCCTTAAAATATACCATTATATGTTAATGTTTTCATTCTGAAAACTTACTGAGTGGTTACAATGTACCTGGAATGATTATACTTAAGTAATAGCTCCATGACAAGAAATAAGGTTCAAAAGCAAAATCATTTAATAAGAAAACGTCAGTTTACACTGTTTACAGCGGAACGCTTAAATTCATTCATCAGTTATCAAGCTTTTGACTGCCTCTATGCCCAATGGCTATGCAACAGAAATGTGCCTGAGCAACAGACTTGAGGGGAGGTTAGTCTAGTTTGGGATGTGAGATTAACAAATGAACAAACAAATATATACATGTGATGCTCTTCATTAGTTCAGTGGGTGTATGTTGAGCCGAACTGAGCAAATCAGTAAAGCTTCTGCAAAGAACAGACAACTGAAGGATGGATATAGACCATTGAATAGAAGTATGAATGGGGAATTTCAGTGAGGCAGCTATTCAAAGATTTGGGATTGAGAATGAAAATGATTTTTCTAGAGAACACTAAGTCTGGTCTATTTGGAAAGTTCCTATTGAGAAAAATAAGATGTGGGCAAGACTATGAGGAGGGTTGTATAAGATAGATATCAAAGAAGTTTAGGTTTGATATATATATGTATAGGAGCAGACAGAGATATGATTTTGGAAGTTTTAAAACTTTTAAATGGATGGTTCTCAACTGGGGGCAAAAGATATTTGGCAATGGCGCAGCTGGGGGTGGGAGGTGCTACTAACATCTAATTGATAGAGGCCAGGAACGCTACGAAACATCTTCCAATAGGGCAGCCCTTTCATAAGAAATAATTGCCTCAAATGTCAGTGGTCCTGAGATTGAGAAACGGTTTTAAGTTGATTGTTTCTATGGCCAGCTCTGCTTCCATGTACTGTAGATAAGTATGAATGATGACTTTTAGGAGCATGAGTACAAGCAGTGTTAAACTTGGGGAGAAGCTGGCTCAGAAATCTCAAGAAAGAGGTTGTTGTTGAAGTCTTGAGCTAAGGGAGAGATGACTGTAAAGAGGTAGGATGAGAGCGATGAGAATGGAAAAGAAGTGGTAAAATGAGATAATTATTTAAATAAAATTTTTCTAAGTTTGAAAATAGTGCATGTTCATTATAGGAAATGTAGAGAAAGTGTGAAAACAAAACAAAACCCAGTTATCAAACCCACCACACAAAGAACAACTGTTAACATTTCATGTAGTGGCTCCTTTCAAATCTTTTTTTATGCTGATAATTATTTTCCTTTTTATAAAACTAGGTTTATGCATTTTTTTTCTCCCTGTGTTGGTTGGGTCTTTTTTTTTTTTCTGACTCAGCATATACTGAGTATTTCTCATTCTTTGAAAAACTTAACTTTTTAATGATCAGTGCTTGTTTTTTGTATGTATTCTTTTGACATTGGGAATTTTGCTTTGTATTCAAGAGACATTTTGAAGGAAGAAATAATGACTTATTAACTATAGAAAACAGCGGAGGTAAAAGTCTACTGAGGGGAACAGTGTTGGGAAATCCGGGAAGGGGAACAGACAAGTTGCTGTCCTTTTGTTCTTCAGTCTAGTTGTGGAGGACGTTGCTTCACTGGCCCATGTTGGTATTATCATTGCGCTCTTCCCGGGTGAGGCAGCTGGTCCCTGGCCATTGGACGGCCGCTCACGGTGGCTCACAAAAGCTGACACCCGCTCCTGGCCAGCTCCACTGCAGCCTACGCCATTGCTGGTGACTCATGGCAGCCCAGCTCCAGGTCGAGCTGTTGTTCACCATCTTAGCTGTAGAGGGCGCAGTATCACTGGCCAGCATGTGGGATCCAAACCGGGACCCTGCTGCTCAGAGCTGGTGTCCCAAGTCAACTCCTAACCAATGTGCCACTCAGCCGGCCCTCTCCAAGGTTTTAAGCCTGGGAAGCTAAAAGAATGGTGGAGCTACTGAAACACATTTGGATTCTCAGAACCCTTTTAATTTTAGGTATGTAAACTGCCATCCACAGAGACACATAATGAGCTTTTATTTATTTATTTATTTTAATGTTTATTAGGGTGACAATTGTTAGTAAAATTACATAGATTTCAAGTATACAATTCTGTAATACATCATCTATATATCACATTGTGTGTTCACCACCCAGAGTCAGTTCTCTTTCCATCACCATATATATTTGATCCCGTTTACCCTCATCTACCATCCCCCTCCTCCCTCCTCCTCTGGTAACCACTAAACTATTGTCTGGTAACCACTAAACTATTGTCTATGAGTTTTGTTTCTTCATTTGTTTGTCTTGTTCTTTTGTTGTTTTCAGTTTTATATCCCACATATCAGTAAAATCATATGGTTCTTGACTTTTTCTGTCTGACTGATTTCGCTTAACATAGTAATCTTAAGATCCATCCATGTTGTTGCAAAATGGTACAATTTTATCTTTTCTTAAGGCAGACCATAATGAGCTTTTTTTTAAATTAAATTATTTTTTATTATGAAATACACATTTTTTAGAATTAGTGTCAGCTGTACAACACAGTGCAATAGTTATACTTAGAACATAATGAGCTTTTAATGAGGATCTTTGATACCGATCAGCTCATATTCTTCTTAAAACTTATAATTAATCTTACTTGATTTTCCTTTCCTTTTTCTTTTTTTTTTTAACTTTTTGTTTTTTGTATTAAGCTTTTCTTTCAGCTCTTTCTTAGCAAAGTCTTCCCCATTCTTCTTGGAAAGCTTTTTAAAAATATATTTTCTACTAGAATACTAAATAAGGCTCAAGATTGTTGGTGATGGATCTTTACTTTGAAAGATTAAATGACTAGTTTGGAATTTTTAAATGTATTGATTGCTACAGTTTATAAGCAAGAGGTGAGTGGGGAGAAGGAGTTATCTTTAAAAAAGCTTGCCCAGTAATGGGATGCCTCATAACATCACAGTGGTCAATATTACATTGCTGTTTTATCAACCATTATGCTTGTTGATCTATACCAGTAAAGTTGATACTTCTGGAAAATGTATTTAGGAAAGTAAATTTAAAAAACAAACAAACCCTTAAACCTAATACAAATGGTACTTTTACTGGGAACATACACTTTTCAAATTGGATAGGATATTATTTGACATTGTTGGATTCAAATGCTGTGCTTACTAAATACTTTGTGCTCATCTCCAAATATCTTCTCTCCAATAGCTAGTATCTGTTAACTTTGGAGAAGTTTTATATTTCCTTTGTTCTTGGGACACAGTGAAGGTAGAGAGAGCGGAGAAAGGGTCTTCTGAAATTCATCCGTCTGTCCGTGCCCCCCACCCCCGTTTGCCTCTTCTATAACCAACCACCTTTCTCTCCTTCAGTTTTACACACTGCCTGAATTTCTTTTTGCCTTGAACAAGTCATACAGGAACTTACCACCTGTGTATGAATCATGAATGCCTATTCTAGCATTTCTTCTTCTCACCAGTATAATCTTAAAACAGGTAGCAATATGTTATATGGGAAAGGCACTTACACTGGAGGAAGTCACAGTTCTAAGCCTGGCTCTCCTATTAGTGACTGAGTGTTCTTGGTCAAATCCCTTAATCTTATCTGTAAATTGAAATTATCTCCAAGGTCCTTTTCAACTCTAAGAGCCTATGAATCTGTGAAG